GGCCTATTACAAATCAGCGGGGAAAAACAGAAACAAACAAAAAAATCAGCAGAGAAGACACCAACAGGCATGGGACTCGGTTCTACAGGAGGCCTCCAGCCCCTGAAGCTGTCTCTCTACAAATCCCATGGAGAACTGGCACAGGAAGGCTCTTCAGTGAGATTTACCATCTAACCCTGTGTTTGTTCTTCATTTACTTTCATTCCACAAATATGAACAGAGAAACTACTGTATACAATACAGTACGGATTTTGGAGAGGCAGATATCAGCTTAGTTATTCACATCTCTATCCCTTGTTTCACGTGTCAGGTTTTTTTCTGTTAAATGGAGAAAGCTGAGCGTATAGAAAGATGCGATAAAATCATGAATATGCTTCACACAGACTAAGTGCTCAAGAAATGTAAATTAGAGGCCAGCGGTTTAGCTCAGTGGCGCTGCACCTGCCTGGCAAGCATGGGGTCCTGAGTTCAATTCCCAGTACCCTCCCCCCAAAAAGTAAACTATAATTTAAATATAAACTATTAGAAGTAAGATTGCATGCTATGCTGGTATGTTCCATCGGCCCCTCCAGGTACAGTCTTCATTCTTTTCTGCCATGTGCTGTGCCCTAAAACTATCCTGTCTGGACTGCCTCTCCCTGACTTCCACTTCAGATTGGTCCATGGGAAACCCTAATAGGCCATAGTGAAAGAAAAAAGAGAGGGCAAGAGTTTTTATTCCCACAACTTCCTTCCTGAATCCCTTGACCCAAAGTCCCCATTCCAGGAAGATGACCCTTCACATAACCCCTCTGCCTCCAGAAGCACAGGCAGTAAGATCCCACTATTACCAGCCCCAGAATATCCCACTCACCACAGCTGTTTCCCTACAGTTTCAAAATACCCAATTCAAACGTCCCGTCTTTTTCCTGGTAGACCCGAATATAGAAAGTATAGAATGAGAACAGATGTGGGACTCGGAAGACCTGCATTTAATTTCACCTCTGCCACGATTTCACTTCTACGACCCCCGTCAGTCTTTCCTTTCCTAGGCCTCAGCTGCCTGGCCCGTAAAAGAGCGCGTGGGACTTCTCAGCTGTTTTGTGCCGCAACTCCCCGCTGAGTGTTCGGTGAAGCTAAACCCAGATCAGCGCCGCGCGTAGGGGCACAGAGCTGCCCGCTGATTCAGGGAACCGCAGCAGCCTCGGAGCACCGCCCCGAGTGCTCCCGGAGTTTCCACGCGCCTCGCCCAGGGGTGCCCCCTCCAAGTCGCGGGGAGTGGGCGGGGTTGGGCAGGGCCTCCGATTTCAACGACAGAGGGACAGGGCAGTTTGAATTCCAATCGTGACTGGTCATCTCTGCAAATTCTCACTTCCTGTTTTACCTGGGAGCTGGCCTCAGGAGAAAACATCCCTCTAAGAATTTTAATCGCCAGTTTGTCTTTGATATCCTTTCCACTGTGTGTCACTCTCCGCAAGTTCAAGGCCTTTGCGGGTCCTAAATCAGAGCTTTGGAGAGCCTCTCAGGACTTGCGCCGACTGCCCCGCAGCCCACGAGCCGGGCCGAGTCTCGAGAGAGCACGACAACGCGAGGCAGTACTGGCCTCTGGGCCCGGCCTCGCCGCCTCGGCACGCTCCTGCCTGTCAGCGAAGGCCTGAGGGCACCCAGGGCGTGAGCCCGCAGCCTGCGCCGAGAGGCGTCCCGCTCGACCCGGGGCCCCGGGAGCAGGACTGACGCGAGGTGGGGGTGAGGGGGTCTCCGGACCCTTCCACTCACGCCGCAGGCCGCAGCCCAGTCCTGCCCCCGCGCTGACGCACCGCCTACGAGAGGACACGCCAGGGGTAGCGTCCAGGAAGGACCCGAGCCGCGCGTCTGCGTCTGCGCCTGCGCGAGTCGGACTGCGCGCGCACCCGGGGGGGGCGGGGGTAAAGTGGAGGTGGGGACGAGCTCGACGGCCACACGCACGCGCGGAGGCCCCTCTGACGTTCTGACCCTGCTCGCTGCGAGCGAAGCTCAGCGGCTGGCCTGCTCGGCGCCCGCCAGTGGTGGATCCCGGGATGTGTGAGTGCTGGGCAGCTACCAGGACTTTCCCAGTCTGGAGGGTCAGGTGATGAGCTTTCCTCAGAGCACATTTGCGTGTAAGGAGCTGGGGTTCAGAGACCCTTTTTGCCTACCTTCAGGACCACGGTCCAGGATTGCTGTGCTACGAGCTTCAATGTCTCCATTAAGGAGAGGAGATGCCCTGGAGGCGGATGAGGCCCCCGCAGCCACCACGTTTTTTCCCTTGGATGCGGAAAGGATGGCCGAACTTGGCCCCTGTGAACACTCGGCTGTGTTGCCCGTGCGGTCACCAAACTTGCCGCTGCCCTCGGAAGCCGACCCGTGTGGGAGGGGAGGTGGCAGAGCTCCGAGTAGCTGTGTCCTCTTAGGGCCTGAGGGGCAGGCAATACAGTATCACCTGTTACGTTAACTGGCTCCCCAGGATGGAATGACCCAAAATGTCGCAGGGAACCAGAGAGGGGACAGAGATTAGGTCTCTTTAGGGTCACTAGGGATGTGGGGCCCAATAGGGGCACCCAGGCAAGACCAAGCGGATGGGGTGGGCTTCTGCTTGGGCTTTTCTGTGGCTCCGTTTGGAGTGGGGCAGACTTGGGAAGACAGGGATTCCGGTGGCCTCCACCCAGCATGCCTAGGGGCAGGCATCAAGCTCCTGGATCCCAAGCTCTGGCCTCCCTGGTCGGCCCTAGTGCAACGCTGGATCTCTATCCTTCTTCGTGACTTCCTCTGTTCAGGAACTTGCAGCTCCTCAAGCCCGCATTCCCTGGGCTTTCATTTAAGGCCCAGCTTTCCCTAACTCATCTCACCTTGATTGCTCTCTTACCACCTAATCACCACCACTGACAGAGATTTACCTCTGAGTGTCAATCCTGGATATTCCCCAAGATCTGCCTCCCTAATCTCTGGCCTGCCACACCTGCCCTTCCCTGAAAGTTAGCTAAAATTCCACTCCCTCCCCAAATTTGACAACTCCTTCCTTTGTTCTAGTATTCTCTGAAGAATCTTGATGTTATGTAAATTGAGTCTTCTCAAAAGAGGTAACCCATTACTTAGCGTTAACAGTTTATATGATGATCCTCTTCAAATAAATGACTAGGCATCTTGTCTCCCCACTGGGAAGGCTGAAGCAGGAGCATCACTTGAGTCCAGGAGTTCAAGAACAGTTTGGGCAACATAGTAAGACTCTATCTCAAAAAAAGAAGAGGGGGCTGGAGATGTAGCTCAGTGGTAGAGTGCTTATCTAGCATGTGCAAGACCTTGGGTTCAATACCCACTAATATCAAACAGAAAAGGATAAAGGAAATCCTATGCCAGACCGTGTATTCCAATTTATGACTTGGAAAATGTCACTTCATCCCTTTGGACTTCCCTGGTTATTCCCCTTCTTGTGCCTTGAATCTCTTACTAAATGATTACTTCCCTCTAGGACAGAAACTATGCCTTAATAAATATGCAGAAGTTTGAATCTTTTGAAATTGTGGGATAAATACAGACATTTGGAGAAAATCACTATTTTTTTACCCTTCACAAATTTATAATCGCTTCTCTTAGTATGTGAGATAAATATATTGTGCACAGCTTTGTTTACACTTCCAGTTTAGCACAAATTAGTGTGATAGTATATAGTAGAAAGAATATTGGGATAAGTAGCAAATTGGCCTTTTGATTCGGTTTGTCATATATTAGCCAAGTGAGCTCAGGGAGAACGCTCCAGAACTCTCTGGAGGTGCAGTTTCCTCATGATCAGTTTGATTTAGGGATAATAAATATACCAGCCCACATCTACTTTACAAGATAATGGAAAAGGTCAAAGGTGAAATGGAATTACGATTATTATAAGTATCTGGGTTTTTTTGTTGTTGTTTTTTTCTGGTATCGGGAATCGAACTCACGACCTTGCGCTTGCCAGGCAGGCACTGTGCCACTGAGCTAAATCCCCAGCCCCTATTATTATAAGGATCTGTTCAAAAAACAATCCTCAATAAATTTTCTAATGAAATTTTAAATTTTGTCACTAACAAGCTTCTAGGTGCTAAATGACCATTTTAAAAATCAGTCAGTTCTGAATCTTTGCCAGTTTTTGAGAAAGGGGGAAAGGCTGGAGTGAGCAAGTGACTTAGCTTGACCCACAGGGGGAGCCAAGCATTACAGAATCCTGGCCCCTCACTGCTATGTGCCATCCTTTGAGCCACTTTGGCCATCAGTCTCATCAGTAAAATGAGTAGTAATAGTAATAACGGCTGACAGCTACTGAGTACATTCTGTGGGCTGTGTACTATTTCAAGCACATTCCATGTACCCAGCCATTTAATTGCTGCCGCCACCCCATGAGAGAGGGATGGTCAGTATCTCCATTTTATTAATGAAGAAACTGAAACACAGTTTAGTCATTTGCCTAAGGCCACCCTGTAGCAAGTAGGAAAGCCTAGGATCAATCCCATGCAATACAACTCTAGGTCTATGCTCTTAATTATGCTGGGGTTATTGTAAGGATTCAGTGAAACAATGCACATAAAATACTCAGCATAGTGCCTAGTGCAGAGCTCTTATGCTTAGTGCGTCATTGTAAACTGTAAGAATGATAATGCCTATAGGTCTAAAGCACAGTTCCCGACACTAAGAAGATGCTCCATTCCCTTGCCTATGGACGTGGGGGAGGTGGAGAATATGTTCTGCTGTGCAAAGAGATCCAGGAAATGCTCCTTTTTCCATGGTAGTTTATCCTGAGGATAAGAAGTTGGCACTGGGCTGTAGTGGCACACACCCATAATCGCAGCACTGTGGGAGGCTGAGGCAGGAGGATCACATGTTTGAACCCAGCCTAGGCAATTTAGCAGCTTTGTGAGACCTTGTTTTAAAATAAAAAGGGTTGGGGATGTAGCTCCGTGTGAAGGTCTTGAGTTCAATCTCCAGTACTACACACACACACACACACAAAGTTGGCACAACCTTTCAAATACACCTTTCCTACAGACTTCATGTTTTTATTCTATTTTATTTTTCTAATTGGTATGGTTTAAGTCTTAAATAGCCCACGTGTTTGGAAGATGATTGGATTATGGCTACACAATAGCTCCCCTGACTTGCGGTTAGGAGCTGGGGTCTGTTTGGCAGAGGTTGGTCACTAGGGTGTGAACGGGAACTGTGCTTCCAGCTCTGCTTCTTGGCCACCATGATGGAAGCAGCCTTCCTGCACTGCACACTCTTCCACCAGGCTACTTCTGCCATGGCACCAGCCAGCTGCGAACTGAAACCTCTAAAACCGTGAGCCCAAATAAATCTCTCCTTTAAATTGTGGGTGCTGAGTTTTAGGTCCCAGTAACAAGAAAAGTGACTGAGACACTAATGTCTCTTCCTTATTGCCTTTATGGCCTTCTGAGAAGAAATAAGTTTTCCTTGGGCTGGAAAAAACTTGAGCCTCACATCAATGTCACAGAAGGTGGAATTCGCATGAAATGCTACCAGTATTTGTGCATTTGCTAAGGCCCTTTCACTTCAGTTATCTGGAATAAAACACATTTGCCAAACCAGAGTCTAGCAGCTTGTCCTCCCGTGACTGATTCCCGTGTTGGACATCCAAGATCTACCCCCAACACACATCTGCCCATGTACACACTCGCTTAATCTGTGATCTGCTCTCATATACTCAGTGCAATTACTCCTTCATTTACCCACCCCAGACATATGTCTGTGTCAGGGGCCATTTGCACACAACACAAAACACACAGCCACAATATTTACCTCTCAAGAGCCCATTCATCCATTCCAGCAACACAGATGAAGAATCTTATGTGTCAGGCACTGTTCTGGGTGCTTGAGCATCATTTAGCCACAAAATCTCACCCACATCTATTTCCCCACACACATAGACTTCCTGCACTGTAATGTTTTTGCACATCCCTCACTATATATAATGCTCAACTTACATATACACATACCCTTAAAGACATTTTTCATTCATATTCCTAACATGACCTTGCTATGTTCGGAATGCTCTCAGGTTTTGCTTTCCCATTTTTCTATTTGTTTCTTTATTCCTATAATGATAGGCTTAACCTAAAGGTGATGGGGTATGAAGCTTATGAAATAGCACAATTTTGAAGCAGGATCTGACCTTGCTTGCCTGCCTTCTGTCTTCCAGGGAAAAGCTGTGTGTTTCTCCCAGAATAGGTAAGAAAAGGGATCAAGATGGAATCGGTGAGAAATAGCCTTAATAGATCAGGTTGCTCAGTTGCCCGAGGTCTGTAGGTTGCAAAATCACCCTGATCAGGACACCAGCAAAGGAGAACATGAGCCCACACACCCAACCCTAAAATCAGCTCTTCCCAAATTGAAAAAACCCACAGATGTCAACCATAGCCATGAAATCTGGCATCCTCTCTGGCTACTGCATGGGTGGTAGCCTGGGTTTCTAGGCCCTGGTTTTCTATTTTGGCTATCTCTAACCTCCCACCTCCTGAGCAGGGCTCAGTTCTTTCCCTTTCATTCCCAGTTTTCAAGCAAGAGTGTAAAACCTCTTGGCATATCCTGGAGGGAAAAATTTAGAATTAAAGGAGCCCTGTTCTAACCGGAATACCAGAAACAGTAAAACCTGGTGGAAAGGTGCTGGCCCAGGGAATCAAGAGTGCTTTCAGGTTTCTCTAAAGACGTGCAGACAGGAGGCAGGGGCAGTCATTTTGTGGAGCAGCTGAGGGAGGCACCCATCCTCACCATTTCGGCAGAGCTGAGGGCTCTTCCACCAGGGCTGTGGGGATCATGAGGCCATTGCATGGTGTAGAGAGTGGACCCAATGGTGTCACTACCCGAGCCACCTCTATGAGGAATAAATTTCCAGTGGCCCTGTTCAAAGGGTTGTTTCCCTGAATGTCAGAGAGGATGATGATTTGAGGTGCTGAGGAGACAGTAGTCAGTTAGGTTTCACATTTCACAACTGTAGATCTTGGCTTATGGTCAGCTGGGGAGTTAAACCATGTTCAACACCAGGAAGGCTAGAGGCTGGAAGAAGTTACCAAAATAAGGTACCAAAAGCATCCAAAACAAGGGCAAGCAATTTATAAATGTCCAGCCTATCTCCAAGAAATGTGAAAATGAGCACACTGTACTAGATACAACAGAAGATAAGAGATTCCCCTTTGCTGGAGACAATCAGGGAGGACAAATGTTAAAGAAAGATTGGAGCTTTATTGAGACATTCTCCCTGATGAAATCAGAATCAAAAGAACACTGGAAAGGGTCAGCCACTGTTCTGGCACAAATACAGATACCCACTTCGGGGAATCTCCGTATCCTAAGTTTCCCACAACTCCCAGCCCCTATTCCTAAAAAGAACCCTCCTTGTAATCTATCTCCACAAACCTCAGCAAAGAACAGGCACTTAGAACTTGTGCTGAGTGATTAACAGGCCTGTGGGCAATAGAGGAAGGTCAAAACAAAGCATGAGAAGAGGAACGGAATGGAGAGTGAGAGAGGAACAAGAAAAGGAAGACAGGAAAGAAAAATCCAGAGAGGGGAAATACTGAGAAGGTAGAGCCCCCCAAAGTACAATATTTCATGAGTTTATTAGACTTGTTCCACCCATTTCCCCAAAGCAATGGTGACACTGACAGCTATGACAAGGCCCATGCAGTTCTGCATTTTTTATTTCCCTGACTGCACTGAGAAAAAACAGGTACACCAAAAGCAGCAGATGGGCATGAGGAGCTCAAAGGAAAAAGGGACGGTCCCCCAAGAGGGCAAAGTAATAGAGAAATGAGGCAAGCGGGTTGGCTACTTGTTTTAATGGGGAAAAAAGTCCAAGTCAGATTGTGGTGGCTTCTCTGCCCCAGCTACCAGGTTCTGTGGACACCCCTTATGGAACTTGCTTTTATTTTCCAGTTGACTTGCTCCTTGGAAGGAATAACTTGGTGGTTTTGGAGGCTTTGGTTCTCTTGTGGGAGGTTCTGGTCAGGGGAGGTTTTATGGAAGGCCATTCACAAAGCCTCTTGCAGCAGGGGCTGGATGGCTAAAAATTCTGAGAAACATGAACTCCTAAACTGCAGTTCTCTGCAAGGATCCCATCTGATCACCAATCCACTCACACTGCCCAGTCTTTGGAAGACTCTTGCTCAGCCTTCCTGTTCACCTTCCTTCTGGTACAGATGACTTCCTGGTGCTGCTGGATCCAACCCATGCCTGGTGACTAAGGCCCCCAGGAAAGTTTATCCCCCTAGAGGGGACACTGGCTGTACTGAAAGGAGCCCATGGAGGCAGCCCTGGGCTGGTGTGTGCACTCCTACAGTGCCCGCAGCCTTGCAGGATTCTCGAGATGAATGCTCTTTCCATGCCTTTGGGTATATCACCTCCCTAATCTCTCCTGGGAAACATACCCACAATTCACACACACTGTTGTTTGCGGCTATGACATCCTATGGTGCGTTCAGTGACTACCCACGACAGGTGCAGGTGAAGCTGAACTTTAAGGCTTGGTTGTCACCAGTGCTGAGTGGCTGGTATTAGTTCTGATTCTAGGAAAGTTCTCCTAGTTTTAAGTGTTGGTGCATCAGGGAATGGAGAAGAAAGGAAAGGAAAAGCCATAGTAACAGGAACCAGAAGGAACAGCTCCTCTGCCAAGTGCTCCCATGGAGCACTTGTGGAAACAACCTCCTCCTAAATCTGGGAGAGGCTGGCTGCCCAGAGAAGTCCCTAAGGATAAGAATCAGGGTCTCCATTGACCACTCTGAAACCCAGTGCCTTTGGGATCTGAGTTTTCCAAGACATGCAATAGACAAAGACACACTGCAAACCAATTAACCCCCTGAGCCCTTTCAGTACCTTCATTTATGTCATTTCCAAGAGGGGAATCACCTGAATACAGTCCCCTCTCATTGGGCCAAGGAAGGCTCTGAGCTCCCTTAGGTGAGACATCAAAGAAATGGCACTGAAGGAGACAGATCTTCATCCTAACCTGGGAACTCTGGTTCTCTCTTAGTGTTCTGGTACCCTACCCACTGCCCCAACCCCTGAAGAAATAGGGAAGAGGACCCTGGGACAGGCTCAAAGCCCAGGTAGATTCAGACCCAAGAGATTTCCCATTGTTGAAAGTCAACCCAAGCCTGGGAGGGAAAAAAGAAAGGATGGAGAACAAACAGAAGACTGGATGGAAGTAGCCAGAACAGACCTGACAACTCTATACACCTCATTATCCATCCAGCATACAGCGGAAAAAGGAATTTCAGCCGCATTTAGCTTATTTGACCCTCATTGATTTAGTATACACTAGAATTTAGCTGCTCTCTGTCCTTCTAAGACAGGACCCAGGAAAAGCAAGTGGAGCCTGATTCATCTCAGTCAGGTTCCCTAACTGCAGCAACAAGACAAGCAAATTGTGATTCACAGTTTCCACTCTCCTCCCTAGACCCATGCACCTTACCCCACTACCAGCCTCAACAAACTGCCAAATCTCCAACGCTTACTGATTTCACCAGTGTGGCTCAAAGGGTTAAACCAGGACTTCTCAGACAGTTAGGACACAAGCTCATTCACCAATGGGGACCCAAGAATGGCTACACACAATCTAGTGCTTCCTGTAGCGATTCTTTGGGGTTTCACCACACCCTGTTTTGTCACAGTTGAGAGCACCTGGATTCTTCCCAAGCCCAAGGCTACCCAGGAGGCTGGGGAGCTCCTGGGTGATGGCCCGCTCGATCTTCTCCAGAAAGCACCCTCCCATGTAGGAGCACTGCTGAGAGAGGAGTTTGAAATTGGAAATGGGGTTGATGCCAAAGAAGTCCTTGTAAGCCTCACGGTTGGGAAGGTCAAACTTGCTGACATTGGTCTTTGCCAGAATGGTCTTGAAGATGTAGAATTTATCAGGATCTTCCACAATGTCCTTAAAGACTAGTTCACCATCACTAAAGAAGGTCATTTTGTCTTTGTAAGTCTGCAGATAGCGATCAACCAACAGGGCATGAATGCGGACCCGGATGGCATGCTGGCGGATGAAGGCAATCTTATTCTCCAGTCTGTTCTCGATCACCTGATTTAGGTCTTCCAGGAGAGAGATCTCTTCCTTGAGGAACAGGTCCCGGTGGGTGTCAGGCTTATACTCTTGTGGCCAGAAGGAACTGACGTAAACCCTTGGGGGCTCTGTGACATTGATGAGAGGGGCCAAGCTCCAGAAGAGGGCTCCATACACACGCATGAGCATTTGTGTGGCCAGGTTGTCGGCCTTGTTTAGGATGATCCTTATCTGGGACTCACGTCCCTTCAGCTGGCGGAAGAGCATCTCCAGCTCCAGACCCACATCCAGCTTGGTAGGGTCAAAGACAACAAAGATGAGGTCAGCTCTGTCGATGAACCACTGGCACACATCGTTGAAGGGGTAGCCTTGGGGAAACAGAAGGAAGAGGTCAACCCAAGTGGGCCTCATGCAAACTCTCTCAGATGTCCCTTTGGAACCAAACCATTCTATGGACTGAAAGAAGTCACAGCAGCAGGGATTTTCTGGGATTCTAAATACTGTAGAAAAATGAACTGTATATTCCCTTCCTTTTATCAGCCTTCAACCAAGAACTGCTTGATTCTTGATTTAATCTACAGTGGAATCCAGGTCTCCAGGGAAGCAAAATACTTGTTCAGAGTAGAGATGTTCCAACTGTCTTAAAAGATCTAGGGCAGTGGCAAAGGTATAATAAGAGAGAAGCCAAGAAATGTGAAGAAAGTGAGAGAGGATTATCTGATTTAGGGTAAAGAAATGTGGGTCAGTGTCAAGACCTAGACAGAATCTGGGCTTTGCCACTGGCTAGACGAATACTAAACTCTCCTAAACTCTAGCTCTTTGGCTACAAAATAACAAGAGCAATGACACTAAAACTGGTGTATAGATTACCATGTGGTGATAAAATAGAAATGCACCTCACTAAATCTCTAATCATATAACAGTGTCCAATATATTTTTAATTCCTTTTACTGTTTAGTTTTTGAATTTTCTTATTTACAAAATAACGCAATGAAGAATATCTATCTTGTAGAACAATGGCCAACAATAATGCATAAAATTATCCAATGCATAGTAGGGGTACATTAAAGTTATTTTGCTATAAGAATTATTAATAATAACATCACAACGAATAGGACAAGGTCTTGTCACTTGAGTTATAACTCAAGGGAAAGTCTTAATTATAAACTGAGATCTTCCATTTGGTCACATATTCTTCTGACTGCCATTACTAGGACTTGCCAATACATTCACAGATAGCCTTGTGTCATGGCAGTACCCAGTGGCTTATGTCATTTTCTCATATCTGCCAAGCTCGAAGTGGCTTTCCCCTGCCACCTAAAGGCAAACAGGGTCCTCAAGTCTGATCAAGGTTTAGATTGAAGCAGACCTGACAAAGCAGAAAGTGGGCACACAAAGAGTTAAAGGTCAGGTGCAATACAGAGCAAACCTCAGAGGCCCAGACTCAGTTTAGCCAGAAGTCAGATACAGAGATCCAATTAGTCCAGACTTTTGACTACCCAGGACAGACTGGGCCTCCCAAAGACAACTTGGCCCCAGCTTGGACCTCTAGGCGTTCTTGCAAAGAAGTCTGGTTCTCCTACTGGGAAAATAATGGCCCCAAATCAAATCATCCTTGGGGAGGTAGGAGGACAAGATACTGTGACACCCAAATGGCACCTCAGTGACAAGAAGGGCTTGGAGGTGAAGAATGTATCTCCTGATCTTGGACAACACTGGGCACATCTCCTCTCCCCTGCTCACCTACCACTTACTGTCCAAACAGTAAGAGAGAAAAACTGCTGTTCAGAAATGGGCACTGAATTACCTCTTTCTTGCTGCTTGCGGTTCTCGATGATACCAGGTGTATCCACAAAAGTGACCCGCTCCAGAAGCTTGTGGGGAACTTCAATGCCAATGAGCTTCTCTAGGAAATTCTGGCCAAACTTCTCCAGGGGTGAGAAGGACCTGGCACTGTCAGCAGCCATGACAATACCCTCAATGGTTTTCAGCTTAGGGCCGTGCATAAGGACTGTGAACTCAGAGGTGGTGGGCTCAGCACCTACACGTGGGTGAAATTATACAAAATCAGTAACCTCTGCAAAACAGACTACTACAAAGAATGTAACATTGGAAAAACATGGTGTCTCAGAGGGATTTGCCTTAAGGACAGGATATGTTTGCTAAATCAGTGGTTTTTAAAAATTGTGGTAAAATAATAACACGGAATTTATCATGCTGAACATCTTTAAATGTACAGTTCAGTGGCACTAAATACATTCACATTACTATGCAACTATCACCGGCATCTATTTCCACAACTTTTTCATCTTCCCAAACTGAAACTGTCCCCATGAAGCAGTAACTGTCTTTCCCTCTCCTCCTCCAGCCCCTGGCAACCTCTACTCTATTGTCTGCCTCTGTGAATTTTCCCACTGTAGATACCTCATATGAGTGGAATCACACAATAATTATCTTTTTGTGTCTGGCAAGTATCGCTTAGCATAATGTCTTCAAGGTTCATCCGTGTTGTAGCATGTGTCAGCTGTGTCTGAAACGTTCAGGTAGCACGTATCGTTCTTTTCTAGGGTTGAATAACATCCCACTGTAGGGACAGACCACATTTTGGGTTCCGTACATCCACTAATGGACATCTGGGTTGTTTCCACTTTGGGGCCATTCTGGATAATGCTGCTGTGAACACTGGTATAGCTGCCAGTGTCTTGTACATGGTTCTCATTACTAGATTGAAGAGTATATTAATGTTTTAATTTTTCATAGTGCTTTTACATCTGGAACTCAAGTACTAACAATCACACAAAAACATCTCTTACCTGTATAGAGCTGGTAGCGAGTGTTTTCCAACCCAAGGAGGTAGTTTATCATGGTGGATTTACCGACACTCCATGGTCCAAGGAACAGCACCATTGGCTTAGAAGTAATTTCCCCATCTGTGGACAGAAAATAAAAATGGAAGTGAACTAACATGGGTTCTTACTATAGGAGCGGCACTGCTCTCTAAAGCCCTCTGCATCCCTGGCTGTCATCCACTGAGTTGTGGGATTCTATATAGATCAAACAATGTGCAGCAAACAAAAGCAATCACTCAGTTAAAAGATGCCCCAAGCCAGGTGTGCTGGCACACGCCTGTAATTCCAGAACTCGGGCGGCTAAGGCAGATGATCGCCGTGCGTTCAAGGCCAGCCTGCACTACATAGTGAAACCCTGTCTCGAAAACAAACAAACAACAAGAAAGATGCCGGGCTGGGGATTTAGCTCAGCGGCAAAGCGCCTGCCTGGCAAGCGCAAGGTCGTGAGTTCAGTTCCCGGTACCAGAGAAAAACCAAAAAAAAAAAAAAAAAAAAAAAAGAAAGATGCCATAAGTCCTTGTTTTGACCTTGCCCAGATCCTTGGCACTTCTTCCTACACCAGAAGGAAGAAGTGAATTCAATCATACTGGCTCAAACTCTCACTCTGAGCAAAGACTCTTGGTCAAATCTGGAAGAGAATGGTTCATTAAAAGGAGGATAGGGCTGGAGATACAGCGTAGCGGCACAAGTGCCTGCCTGGCAAGTACAAGGTCCTGAGTTCAATTCCCAGTACAAAAAAATTTTTAAAAGGAGGCTAGAGCTTCCCCGTGGAGAGAGGTTGAAACTCTGCCACTGAGTTAATAAAGAGAAGAAAGGACACAGAAGAAGCTTATTCACAATCTTGCACCATCTGAACCTCAGCCCTGCCCGTCCCTGATTCTGAAGCTCTGCTCTCCTCTACACCATGGCTCCCAGAATCCCCAATTTACACTCAGCCTAACCCTGGGCTCCAGGGCCAGTCTCAAATATTAGCCTCCAAAGTCCATGACAAATGTACCACTGTCCAAGATCAAATCCTGAACTGGGCATCCTTATGTTCTTAGACCCTGGGTCCAAGCTCTAAGCCTTCCAGAGGCCTTGCTAGGAAGCATGTCCCGCCTGGACCGCTCCATCTGGGATTCTTAAGAAAAAAAGCAAAATTTCCTAGTGCTTTCAAATGTTGAGACAGTGGGGCTTTCAAAAATAGTGGAAAGTTTCCTAGTGCTTTCAAAAGTAGGGATGTAGTTCTTATATAGTGTTCATGCTTGCTTAGCATGTGAAAGGAACCCAGCACCTCAAAAGGAAAAACAAAAAAAAAGCAGAGTCAGGAGGATAGAGTAGGGGCTTTTGACATAGGATGCAGCCAATCTTGTTGCTGATTTGAGGCCTCTTCCCTCTCAGCAATTACCTGAACAATCAGGGTGGGATGTTGAGCACCTAGTTCTCCAGACCTCCCTGTCTCCCTGAGCTTGCACACCTCTTTTTTTGTTGGTGTTCTTTTTTTTCTTTTCTTCTTTTCAGTACTAGAGAAAAAACCCCAGGGAGCACATCTCCACTTCTTTTAAAAATTCTTTTTTTTAGTTTTGGTTTTTGTTTATTTTTTGATACAAGGTGAGCTACATGCTCCAAGCTGGCTTTGAACTCATGATCCTCTTGCTTCAGCCTCCTAATTTCTAGAATTACAGGCATGCTTTTAATTTTTTTTTTTTTTGAGACAGGATCTCATTAAGTTGCCCAAGGTGGCCTTGAATTTGCAATTCTCCTACCTCAATCTCCCAAGTAGCTGGAATTATAGGCATGTGACACACATCAGCTTTTTTCATTTATTTCTTATACTTTAATTTCTTAGCTCAAAAATCAGAAGTATAAAAAACCATGCAAGAGAAAACTGCCTGGGTCATATCATTGCCTCTACAGGTAACTACTGCTGCTAATTTCTTTCTTTCTTTTCTCTTCGGATACAGAATCTTACTGTGTCACCCAAACTGGCCTCCATCTCTCAGGCTCAAATGATCCTCCTGTCTCAGCCTCCCACGCAGCTAGGACAATACACACACACTACTGTGCCTGGTACCAGTACTAGTTTCTTATATAGTGTTCCAGATATCTTAATGCATGTATAAAGTGTTTGTAGATATCTTATTCCCTGTCTTTTTTATATACAGAGTAGTAGTACAGTAGACTTCCTTTGGTTTTCTTTCTCTGGGATGAAGCCAAGTCCTAGAAGATGATGTCTTGTAAAGGGCAGGCACACATACATTGTCTGAAAGCAATACTGTGTCCCTGCTCCCTCTTTTCCTTTCTGTAAACACACACACACACACACACACACACACACACACACACACACATGCACGCAGCCCGTGCATGCAAGAGAGAGACCAAGACCTATCTGATCTGACTGCGGGTAGGCTGAGGGTGACAGGAGTCCCTGGTTATAGCCATAGATACTTCACAGAAATCTTTACACGTGCCTTGGTGAGACCAAGCTAGACACTGGACCTGAAAATTCTGAGACAGACCACAAACAGGGCTTCCCACGCTGCTATTCCAGCTCTCCACAGCAGGGGGCATTGCGGGCATATGTTGTTGTCCACCATGAGCCTGAGGGACCGCAGGTCCGGCAGGAACTGGTGAGGGACTAGGGGAGAAGAGCCAGGTCCAGAAAGTGAGGCTGGGAGCCATGCAGGCCCTCATTCCAGAGCACCTGGGCAGCAGCCTCCTGACCTCTGCCGCTTCAACATCGGTCCCTCCTGGAAGGGCTACACCTCTGGGTAGAGAGCTGGGAGAGAAGGCAGTGCAAAGGACAAAGGAAAGCCACTAGGAGATTGTGTAACCTCGCATCTCTGCTTGCAAGAAACAGTACGGAAAGTGGTGGGACAGGGTAACTCCCAGGAGAAGAAACAGAACGTCACTGTCCTCTTTCCAGCTCTGTAATCTACCAGACATCCGCTCTACAGCCATTGCGAGAATCGAGTGAGACAGTATGGAAATATCCAATTAACACAGGAAGAGACATGTGATGCCACTTACAGTAGAAACAGCAGTAAGGGCTGAGGGTATAACTCAGTGATGCAGTACTTGTCTAGCACACTCAAGGGCCTGGCTTCCATCCGTAGCACAATCAGCCAATCAAAATAAGGTATCATTACAAAAGCTTTAAAAGATGGGTAACAAGAGCCGGGTATGTAGCTCAGTGGCAGAGTGCCCACCGGTGTGTATGAAGCCTGGAGTTCCATCCCCAGTGCCACAAAAACGAGTTACACTTAAACATGACACAGCTGTGGGGGAACAAGAACTCTCATCTATCATTCTCGTGAGTACAAACCGGTATATTTAGGGCAATTTGGCAACAGCTATCAAAATGTTTAACTCCAGGGTTGGAACTGGATTTTCAAGAACATAGCTTACAAATGTACTTGTATAAAATATATGATTATAGTCATGTTTGGAACATTTTTAAAAATGAAAAATGGAAAGCATCCTATTGGCCATCAGGAGAGGACTGGTAATACAGAGAGCATGGTGCATTCATGCAGGACAGGACCAAGCAGCCACCAGAAAGAATAAGGGAGACCTACACATGCAAACATACACATGGGTGCACATGGACATGTTATCCACACATGTGTACACAGCGTAATATGATCCCATGTGTGTAAAAAAAATGACATACTTTTTACATTCACGTATCTACAGAAATGTCTGCAAGCATTCACAAGAAGCTATAACAGTGGGTGTCAAAAAAAAATTTAAAAAAAAAAAAAACAGTGGGTGTCTCTGGGAGTGGAATTAGAGAAGTTGGAGATCAATGAAAGAATTTTTAGTTCAAATACTACAGTATTAGAAAAAGATTTTTGCAGCGAGTATGTCTTATTTTTGGTACTTTGAAAACCAATTTTTTAAACCTAATTTTTAAAAGAATCCTATTCCAAGAGAAACCGCTCAGGAAGAGCTTTAATAAGGAGGTAGAGAGGATTCCAGGCCAATCAGAGGACTCAGAAATGATGCACTAGGTGAACAGGAAACCCTTGAGGGCTCTTGAGCTCAGGGATTGAAGTTGGCATCACTACCCTGAAAATTAAAATCTGTAGTACTGAGACATAAATGCTTCACAATGAAACGCTGTCACAATGAAATGCTGTCACAGTGAAATGCTATCTGTCAAACTCTCATATATCTTTGAGCATGATGGGGATGCTTCACAGGACCAAGGTACCTGTCCTAGCCAACCCTGCAGGAGACCTCAGCCCTAGCATCCCTATGTATACCCATGGAACTTGTGAACCTGTGTGGGCACCATAGTGGGTCAGAGATCCAGCCCCCCACTCCAGACCCACACTGTACCTGTGATCTCATGCTGTCGGAGCTCATTGTATTTGTAAGACTGCTCCAGGGGCTTGATGGATGTGTGGTAGATCTTTCGAAGCCGCTGCAACACCGCTAAAGGCAGAAAGGCATGGGTAGGGGGAAGGATCAGACAGGGTAGGTTCCAGGTGGGTCCTCCGCTGGGGAGAAATCTTACAGCCCAATTGGCTTTACCTCTGCCTGGGGAGGATCAGGGACTGTTAGCAGTGAGAGATCATGTAATGTCATGGAGTGAGCTGGTCCACATCACAATCTTCTGAAATCCTCAAACTACAAGCATTCCTACCAACCTCCCCCCAACACAAAGCTGCCTTAGCCATTTTTTTTTTTTTTAACTTCTCATCTCCTTCCCCACCTGAACAGGGTATCTGAAAACACCAGCTCAGCCCACAATCTGTCTAAAGGCTCTCTTTGTGAAATAAGAATTCAAGCTCTTTCTGCTGCCCACTTCAACTTGCCCTGCCCTAGGCCCAGCAAGTTGCCCAGCAAGTCTGCAGTACGGCCAGCCACCCCGGCCCTTGCACATCACTGCACTGGTGATCCTGAGAGGATCCAGACTTCCCAGGTATCCTCCTGGGACAGCACAGCCCCAGCTGGAAGCTGCTGGGTGTTGGCACAAGAGAATGGTATGTGGGACCCAGGGTTAGGCTAGGGAGGCCCCAGCCCTCACTCTACCTTCTCCAGCTCTGAGCCAAAATCAAATCACCACTTTGCTCTGAGCTTCACCAGCTCACTGGATTAAGAGACAACAAGCATTACCAAATCGGTTTCCATAGTGTAGTGGTGATCACGTTCACCTCACAAGCATTACCGAAATCCTTGGGTTGTTATTAGGATAAAATGAAACATAAAAGAGATTTGCAAACTAAAAATCAAAGCAAATGGGATGCACTGTTATTAACTATCTTCCCAGCCAGCGTAGCCTTTAGGTGGCAGCCCTGGGATCGGCCCTCAGCACTTACACAGGTCTCTCTGCTTGGATCACTGTCCTCCTTCCTGCTGACCTGCCTTGCCCTGATCACAAATCCTCCATGTGGCTCCCCACCCGCAGGGCTCTCCTCCTCCCTGTGGTCCTCTGTAGCTCCAGGCCCATTGCACTCTGAGTCCCAGTCACCTCAGAGGTTCTGCCTCGCTGCCTCCCACAGAACTAACCAGGCCCGTCTCCCTCCTCAGCTTACCTGAAAAATCATCAGCTGGCTTGTCCTCACCGAGCATCAAGGTCTTCTCAATGTGGGAGCGGTCCCTCATCGGGGCTTCTTCACTCACATCCTCTGTCTCTTCTGCAGAGAGAAGCAGACAACAGGGTCAGAGCAAAGTTCTAAGCCTCACAGGAATGAATGGGGCTGGCCCTCGAGTAGGTGCTAAGCAAGCCACCAGCTTGAACGGAACTGTGTTCTGCCTTTGGGATGCAATTTGAAAATCCAAACTCAGTATCTAAGCACCACTATCCATTTTATTTACTCAACAAAAATTTATTGTGCCCCTATCAAGCATTACGCTGGAAATCCAGTAGTACCCACAAAGGCACAGCTTCTCCCCTAGGGACCTGTCCTAGAGTCAATGGGAGAGAGCAGACAGTCTTTTAAATATGTAGTAATTACCAGGCGTGGTGGCACATGCTTGTAATCCCAGCAATCTAGGAAGCTGAGGCAGGAGGACTGCAAATTCAAGCCCAGTCTGGGCAATTTAGAAAGACCGTATCTCAAAATAAAAAAATAAAAATAAATTAAAATTTTAAAAAACTAAAAAGGGCTGGGAATGTAGCTCAATGCAAAGGTCCTGGTTTCAATTTCCACTACTGTAAAAACATGCAATAAAATAATAAAGTAAAAATAAATATTGTGAGCAGTGAGGAAGCTAGAAAAGAAAACAATCCCAGCAGCTAGGAGTACCTAAGAAGCATGCCTACAGACTTAGCAGGGAGCTAGAGAAACCTTCTTGAGGAGGAATTAATTACTAAAGAATGGAAAGTTTTTGTTTGTTTCTTTTGCAAAGGGCCGGCCAAGAGTTTAGCAAGAAGCAAGAAAAAGCCTATAGCCAGCCACAGGCATGGAGACCTGGGTGCTGGACAGCCAAAGATATCCACAGGAGCTGACCAGACAGCCTTGCAGGGGCCACCACAGGGGTTTGTATCTCATCCCAAGGCAACAGGCACCCACAAGGGGCTCTAGGCAGACAACTGACTGATGGAATGAGTATCTTATTAGGATCACACTGATAGGAGAATGGGTAGAGGGATGCTGCACTGCATTGTGTGTGTTTGTGTACGTGCATGCGCTGGGGGTAAACTGTTCTGACCATACAAGCAAGAAATGCCCATGCCTGCCACCAGCTCCCCAAGCAGAGAAGGTTTCCCACATCCATGGGTCCCTAGAATCACAGCCTTTTCTAGCCAGGCTGTCTGCTCAGAAGGACTTAGACCTGTGGGGCAGAGGGAGGCCAGTACCAACATGCCTCCTGTGGTATTTCAGGAGATCAAACTGAGGAAGCCCCAGACCCAAAATTAGGAGGGTCAGAGAAAGGGGAGGACCACACTGATTGCAGCCCCCAGCTCTTATGGAGGGCAGGGGGTACATACATTAGATTCTCCAAGGAAACTTGCGAGGGGGGCTGGGGATTTAGCTCAGCGGCAAAGCGCCTGCCTGGCAAGCACAAGGTCGTGAGTTCGGTTCCCGGTACCGGAGAAAAAAAAAAAAAAAAAAGAAACTTGCGAGGAAGCTATGTGGGGAAGTGAAGACTTGACCCCAACCTCCACTCTGAAAGCCTGACCTCTGCTCCGGCCAGGCACAGAGATGAAGACTGAAGAACCTGAGCACCCTCCACATCAGATATATCCCTAATGCTGCCGATAGCTTGGCCCCATCGTCTCTCCCCCGCTCCTGTTTCCCAGTCCTTTGAGGGCCGTTCAGCCTTAGGCAGATAGATATTCAAGGGACACTGGTGGTCACAGCCTGAGTTACCACAGTTCTAACCCCTCAGTCCCAGTTCCCCATGCCTCCTATGGGAGGTCTTCAAGGGGAGACACAGGTACGAGGCCACAAGATGATCGCTTGGTTCCCAATTCATCCCACCCACAGCTTTCCATCAGGCAACTTGGGCTCTCAGACCATACCATCAGTCCTCTTGCCCTTAAAGCACCGGTCCACGTTAAAGTAATGATCCTAATGGGGAAGTTCCTGAGGGCCCGACCCAGAAGTGGCTAGATCCCTCTGGACCCTCTCGCTTGTTCCCTCCACACTGGCGGTAAGTGGCTGAGGGGCAGCCCACGGGCACCTCCCCAGGCCAGTGCCCCAGCTGGAGCCCCACCCAGCAAACCGGGACTAGCTAGAGGCTCTCCTGCCCATCCCAGCCCTGCCTGTCCCACTACATACAAGACTTCCATGAAGAATGCAGCTGCCCAAGGTGCTGGGGATGCCTTCAGAAATTAATTCCTACCCTGTGGAGCAATTACGGGATTCCCCCTCCCCTGATGTCCCTCTTCCGGCTCCTCTGCCTCAGGACTCTGGGTCTCGCCACCCTCAGACTCTGTATTCAATTCCTCTGTGCTGAGCTGAGGTCCTTTCTCCTCATGGCCTGTGGTTCCTGTTGCTCCTTGAGGCTCCCCAGCCTCCTCAGAGTCATCCCCTTCTTCTGAGCTAGGCTCGTCACCGCTGTCTTCTTCGGACTCTTCTTGGGATGGAACTACTCCTTCCTCCTCACTTGCACCTTCTTCACCACCTGCTTCTTCAGAGGAGGCCTCATCAGGGCCCTCCACAGGCATCCCTGGCATCTGGGCCTTAGCAGGGTGGTCCTCCTCAGTCTCCCCAGGCCTGGAGCTCTGGGAACCCTCCGATTCTTCACTGACCTCTGTGGCTGGGCCAGTCTCCTTGATGGGGCTTGCCTCCCCCTGGTCCTCAGCCCCTTCCCTGGCTTCTGTGTCCATAGCAGATTCCAACTCTACTCCCACAACTGCAGTGTCAAGGGCTCCATCCAGCTCCGTGGGCTGGGGATCAGGCCTTGGGCTGCCCTCGCCTTCTGTTTCCGGGGCATGGGCATGGGCCTGAGGCTGGGGCTGGGGCTGGGGCTGGTCTTCAGCTCCTTGCCCACTTTCTGTGCCCATGTCAGCCTCCGATGCTTCTCCCATAGATGTGGCATCTCGATCTAGCTCTGCAGGCTGGTGATCAGGCCCATGGCCGCTCTTGCCTTCTGCCTCCGAGCCATGGACCTGGGGTGTGAACTGGTCCTCAGCCTCCTCTGCAGACACTGCATCCCCATCCTGCTCTGTGTGCTGATGATCAGACCCTGGGCTCCCCTCACTTTCTGCCTCTAGGGTGTGGAACTCTTCACCCTCTAAACTGGAAAAGGCCCCCTTGACTTCAGGCTCTGCTGTCCCTGCTGCTTCTTCCTGCATGAGACTGTGGCCTAGGACTTCCTCAGCTTCTTGGGGAACCTCGCCACTCCCCACCTGTCCTTCTGTCTTCCCACTGACAGCTCCTGCTGTGGGGAGCCCCAGCCCAACCTCCTCCTCCTCTCCTACTGAACTGAGCTTTAGCCTCTCCTCTTCCATAGGCCCCTTATCCTCTCCCAGAGGAAAGACGCCTGCTCCTGACAGGCCCTCCTCTTCCTTCCCGGGCCCTGTAACATCCCCAGTTGGAGCTGATTCTGCAGCTGAGGCACTGGAGAGGCTGGCTTCAGACTCGGAGCCCGGGCTGGTGGCAGCGGGAGGGGCCCCGGCGGTGTTCTGCTCTGAGCTTTCAGCCTCCCTGCTGTCTGGGTAGTGAAGGAACAGATTCTTGTCTTGAAGGGCCGCATCTGCATAAAGTGCCCTTTCTTTCTCCTCTAGACTTGCGTTTCCAGCAGAGAAATGATTCTCCAACAAATTGCCAACATCTTCTGTGCCACCCGAAGCAGGGACTTGCAGTTCTAAATGATTAGAACATGATTGGTCAGTTCAGAGGGTTGGCACTTGTTCTGCCTCTCAAAAGAGCCTATATCAATCTAGCTTCCTCTCCCAGGAGTATGGCGTGTACCTGGTATGCAATGCTATGCCTCCTTCCCTGAGTCTTCACCACCACCTGCCTCCTACTCAAGATGTGGGGACCATGGGTCAGGAAGTTAAAGGACTGGCGTGTTGTCCATTACTAAGGGAGTTGGCAGCTACACTTACCTGAGAACCCCCACACCCTGGCTCTGACCTTCGAATCTCCCCACTGGGTCTTAATGACTGTGTATGGATGGAAACTTAGGTGAGCCCTTCCAGCCCTTCACTCTTGCTGATGGGCAAGTGCAGGTGGGCTCATGAGGAGATACTTCCAAGATAGGACAGATGCTTGTACATTCCACCCCTTGTCAGTTCCTAGAGTCATTAACCAGCATGCTTTTTATACTGCTATCAGCAAAAGGGTGAAAACAGGTGTTTGCAGGCCAGATAATCTTAGGTTACATGGCGAAGTACTTAGTGGATTACTTGTGGCTCTCAACCTTATTAAGTCACACATCCAACCCTGTCCCCTTAAGGACGGGCATTTGCTGGCCTCACTACCCCAGATTAGAGGCCACTGGGCATGAGGAGGAGATATCCAAAACAGGCAGGATCTGGGCTTCCTATTGGCTTCAGCCAAACCCTTCCAAGGGGATCCTTTTTTTAAGGGCCTAGAGCTTTACCCAGAGATCAGAGGGCACAGAAAAGAGCAGAGTGAGAGAGGGAATACAGGGTCTCAGTATGTGCCAGAGACCCCTGCCAATGGTCAAGTTTAAGACGTTGGGAAAATGGGTAGGGAAGCAAGGGCTAGGCCTATCCCTCTGCCCATCCTGCCCAGATTGGGATCTGTTTCAGGATGCCTGCTGTGGGGGCTGGGGATTTAGCTCAGCGGCAAAGCGCCTGCCTGGCACACTCAAGGTCGTGAGTTCGATTCCTGGTACTGGAAGAAAAACGAAAAGCAAAAACAACAACAACAAAAGCCTGCAGTGGAGGACAGTACATAGTTGTGGGGAAGGGGAAACAAAAGGGTCCTGGCTTGGGGTGGCTGAGACCATCCCTGTCTCCCCTGATTCTCAGGGCCTCTTTCTCTATCTCTCTGCTGGGTATAACATCCCCTCTCAAGCCAAACCTGGTGCTCCCGTTTCTGCCTTCCATGAAAAAAAGCCTTTCTGAACTAGGCGCAGTGGTACCTACTTATAATCCCTGCTACTTGGGAGGCTAAGGCAGAATGATCACAAGTGCCCAGCTTGAGCAACCTAGCAAGACTCTGTCTCAAAATAAAAAAAGGAATATGAAAGTAGGTCAGTGGTAAAGTGCTTGCCTAGTATGTGTGAGGCACTAGGTTTAATCCCCAGTACAGATGGGGCAGGGAAAAAAAACAGCCTTCTGCATCAGGGTGCCCCCACCAATTCTCAGAAAGCTGGAATGGGGAATGGATATTTCCTCATAAGTCCCCACAGACAGCCAACCTGTGTCAAATTCAGAAGCTTTGGGGATTTTTATTATAAAGGAGTTCCATATACTAATATATAAAACTCCTCCAAGCACTTTCACATACATGACCATTTTTAGCTTCCTTTGTTACTGTCAGGCAGATTTTAAAGCCAAATTAGTGACACTGACCTACCCCAGACACATAGCCATTAGGCTACTAAGGGGTGACTGGAACTCAGAACTGCCAACTCCTGGTCCATGACATGTTCAGGGAGCACAAGAGACCCCTTCCCATAAGGACCTCAGCCCCTGCCTACATGTACTTTCTCCCCAGGCTCATGCCTCTGGCTCCTGGATAATAGGAACCATATCTTAATTCTGTGCTTCCAGGCCCAGGCCTCTGCCTTCTCCACAGAAAGCGCTAGACCTCACAGCTGCACAGGAAACTATTCAACCTCTGAGTGGGGTTTTCACTGTTCAAAGTAGGTATAGGGACCAGCTCCCTCAGCATCACTTGGGAGCTTGCTGAAAATGCCAATTTCAGGCCCCACGCATGACCCACTGATCAGAATCCACACTTAACGAGATGCTCAGGTGATTTATTTACTTGTTACATATTGAGAGGTGCCGACCTACACCACCCATAAACCTGCCACTCCACCTGTAGTTCTCGGCACTGCCTATATGTTGGAATCACTGCTACTTGGTTCTGTATTTCCTCTCCTTCCTTGGTGGCTCTGATTTAAATAATGCAAGGTATAGCCCCAGAATCAAGATGTAAAAAGAGAAAAAAAAAAAAAAAAAACCTTCAGTAATTCTAACACACAAGGTTGCCAGGCAGTGCAACTGCTAAACCAAATAATCCTGACCTCAAAGTTTCTGCTCACAGCCCCTCCTCATTAGCAGAGTGCCCACTGGGGGTGCCATGTTCAAGTGGGTCTCCCAGGGTATGGGGTTTTTCCTTGAAATAGCAGTGATAGTTGAGGTGTCTCTTCTGGGGAATCTCATCATTTCCATAGGCCCCTGTTGCCCTGTGATGATGATGATGATGATGTGATGATGACAGTGACAACAATGATGATGGTGATGGTGATGACAACGATGGGGGTTGTGGTGATACTGATGATAATGACAATGATGATGATGATGGTGGTGGTGGTGATGATACTGAACCAAATGGACTCTAGGTCTGACCTGTAACATTCCTGTTATTCTCAAAAGACCCTCTAGAGCTGAGGATATAGCTCAGTGCAAGGTCCTGAGTTCAATTTCTGAGATTCTGTCCTGATGGGAGTGAGAAGCCTGCGTTGACCTGAAGGGCATGAGGACCCCAGATGTGGCGAGTTTACCATGATCCTCACACTATTGTGTATTTCCACTCCTGGACCCTATACAGGAAGTCAAGTGTATGTGTATATACATTTATGTCCACACCTCTCTTCCCTGGTTTTGTGTGTGTGTGTGTGTGTGTGTGTGTGTGTGTGTGTGTGTGTGGTTTTTATATCTTAGTTCCAAGCTGCCCCTGACCTTCTCTGCTAAACAGTTTGGAGTGAAAAAGACAGGATGATAGCTTTATGCCCTGTGACCTTCCATCCTGGGCTAAAAATAACTCCTGAACAGAAAGTCTCTCCATGAAACAAACCGTCCTATTGGCCCCTAAAGTTTGATCTCCAGGAAGCAGCTGTGCCACTGGACCCAAGTCTCTGCTGTGAGGTAGGTCTGAGGCCCAGGGACCCTCCCATTGTACTCAGCTCAATTTCCTTAAATCCAAAGCTGGTGTCTTTCCCTCCCTCCCTAGCTTCTTGCTGAAGCCCAGATGGTGCCTGGAGCAGGAGGTACGGGAGAGGCACAGAGGACCCCTGGGTGGGTTATGTCCTGGCAAAGTGAGTCTGGACCCATTCCAGGACATAAAGTACCATACTGTATGTGCTGCTGCCAACACAGCCACCCCATCCCTGCACAGCCTGGGTGCTGACATCAGGGCACCTTAATAGCAAGCTACCAGCTCAGCCCCAGAGCACGGAAGGCCCAAACATCTGACGTGGAACATGTCCAGCCCCAGCCGCATCCAGGCAGAGCGCACACAAAGCCAGTCCTGCTTCTCTCTACTTGCCCACTCTGCCACCAGCCCTTCTTTGCAAGCCATGCTTCCAGCTACTCCCACCATCCCCACAGCCCCAGCTGTCACTCTGGGCTCCATTTCTCTCTCCTCTCTCCACCACCAACCAAGCACCGATTTTGTTTCCTGAGCTCCTCACTTGTTCCAAAACACATTGCCTGGACTCAGGGTGATGCAGTTGCCAAGGGCCTGGTGAGTCTAACTGGAAAGAAGCAAGCTCTGGCCTTCAGTCCATGGCCCTCAGAACAGAGATCCTTCTGCTCCCCATGAAGTTAACACATCATGTCCCGTAAGGTGCTAGAGTTCCATGGAAATGCCTGCAGGGAGGGGGAAGCCAAAACATCCTACGGTTCTTCTCCCCTCATACTTGTTGCCCCGTTGGATAATCTGCCCCACTGTTTAGAGGGCCAAGGGTGAAAGAAAATTTCATCTCCTGGCCTCTGCAGAAAAATACCTTCCTGTGTCTGCTTTCTATCATTTTCTCCACCTCTTAAGAAGCCCCCTAAAGGCAACTTTTCACTCTGGGATGTCAAGTCTCCAGGGTATTGTGTTTTTCATGTTCTTATTCTGTTTTGTCTTGTTTTGTCTTGTTTTGTTTTGTTTTGTTTTGTTTTGTTTTGTTTTGTTTTGTTTTTAGAGACAGGGTCTGGCTATGTAGTTCAGGCTGGCTTTGAACTCACTGTGTAGCCCAGGCTAGCCTCAATCTCACAGCAATCCTCCTGCCTCAGCCTCCCAAATGCTGGGATCATAGATGAGAGTCACCACACCCAGCTCATGTTCTTGTTCTTTGATCCCCCTCACAGCTCTCTAAGAAAAAAGAAGGGTTATCAAATGTGATGCAGACACAGAACAAGGCCCAAGCTGTTTGCTCAATAAGGCTTTCCAGCAGAGCTTTGTCACTGAGGACGGTGCACCTTTTTCTGCAGAGTTTTGCAAGCACAGGTTCCAGGCTCTGCGGCTGGGCCAGTAGGTAGCTATGTGTTTCACAAGGTAACTGTAAAGAATACCAACATCTGAAACCCTCTGTAATAAGCCTTCCTTGGCACCAAGTGCCAGGGAGTTCTGTCCTTATGTTGAACCTGGAGATCAGAAGACCAGAGATCGAAATTCAAGAGTTTTTGTTTTGTCGACCTGTCTCAAGCCCACGTCATTGTAAACTCCATTCCAGCTTGTCCACGTCTCTTTAGCAGACATTTATAACTAGGAACTACTGCGCTGATTCTTCCACATGACCTCCTCTCTTTGAAGTGAAACTAGAGTCCAAATTCAAATAAATAAAATATCTTTGACCATCATTCATGTAGAATTATGCAGTTATTTTATTCTTTATCAGTAATAAAATCCCACAAAAACTCTATTTCCAAATTTGCTCTTGGATCTGCATGTCCT